AAAAGTTGGTGGTCTTGAATGTGATACCACTTGCACCTTCTGTACAATTCTTTGCCCAAATGAAATCATTAATAAAAACGAAAGTTAAATTGTATGAAGTTCTTACTGTCTATCTTGCAAATACAGTTATTAAATGAAAAAAAAAGAAAACAATCCTGATTTGAGTAAGGGGGGACATTTTGTTTTTTTAAATCCTTATCCAAGGACATTTTTTCATTGCTTTTAGAGAGAGGAAGGGGCAGATGGAGGCAGACCGACAGACAGACATCAGTGTGAGAGAGACACATTGATCGGTTGCCTTCTGTGCACCCTGACCCGGAACTCAGCCCGCGACCCTTCAGTCCACGGGATGAGGCTCCAGCCCGCTTGAGACGCACTGGCCAGGGTGGGGCTTGGCTTTTATGGGGAAGCAGGAACGAGGCCAGGAAGGCGAGGGGCAGGGCAGGGGACGGGTGGAGGCCGCCTGGTGGGCCTGGGATCAGAGAGAGTTTAGCCCTGAGGCTGGTCCCTGGGGACAGGGGCCTTTCGGGGAGGGCTTTTTGCTGGCTTGGGCTGTGGGTCACTGTTCAGGGCCTGAGGAAGGAGGAAGCGTGATTAAAGTTTGGTCAGTCAGATGAAGGGGCGCTTTCTGATGGGCCGGTGGGAACACACAGGTCAGCCAGTGTTTCATGGAGCCAGCACCGGGCAGCGGGAGCGCCGGTGTGTGGCCTTGTCACAGTAAACGGGGGTGCCCGCAGGTCTTACCTCTGTCACAGCAGGGAGAGGAGTTCTCTGCAGGAAGCTGTTTCCAGGAATCCGGAAGGGGACGAGGGCTTCTCAGTCGGCACTGTTTTCAGGAGCTCAGGGCTCAGGCGGAACCTGCTTCGTTGGCGGGGTTCAGTGCCTGACCTGTTTTCACATCATGGCAACCCCTCTGGTAAATACCGTGACCCTGAGACCTGGAAAGGCCCAAGCACGGCCGTGACCCGCTGCTGGGAAGAGAGGGCGCGTCTCAGGCAGCTGCAGAGGCCCACAGCCAGCGGGACGTCACCCGGCCACAGAGCCAACGGCACCGAACAGGACGATGCCGTCCAGTCGTTTATTTTTATATCCTCTAAGGAGTCCAAAAATATGTACTCAGCCCGTACGTTACTGTGGCCTTTTCGTGTTGCGAGTACCGACCCTGCCCAGCGTACAGCCTGCCGAGGTGGTTTCTGTTTTAAGTACGTCAGGGTGGGTCATAGAATCCATGGAGGGATTGAACTTGTAAGCTGAGAGGACGGGAACGTGGGCTGTAAGCCTGAGACACGGAGAGGAACCCAAGCCTGCCCCTCGCTCCGGCAGCGTGTCCTGGCTGGGGCATGCTTGATGTGTGGCAGGACACTTCTCCAGTGTGAAGGTTGGTCCTCTTCTCATGTGTGACATTCTAGGCCTTTGCCCACCAAGAGCCCCTAGTGACCCACAGTCATGTGACAACCAAACAAGCGTACTCACCCTTCCAGACGCCCCCCAGGGAGGCGATGCCGTCACGGTGAGGACACGACCAGGGCCACTGGCGCGGTTGACTCAGCTCTGCGGACGCTCAGCTGACCACACGCTGAGTCCCAACATCAGGCGCCTTCAACTTCCGGGCAGAGGTCAACCCTGGCCAGGTGGGTGGCCTGGGTGTGGCCATGTTGTCGTGGTGGGGGCTCCTTTGGTAGGTGGCCTTGTGCATGAGGAGGAGTCGGTTCTCACTAAAGGGTGGGTGTTGTTTATGTAAAATTCCGTATCTCCACAATAGTTAAATTCATTAATTTACTACTTACGGATTTGGCATGGAGCGTGCACAGTCTATTGGCTGGCCTGGCAGACGACTCTTGTCCATTGCTGTGTTTAATTCACACAGCGGGCACCCGCAGGAGGCAGTATGGCCGCTGTGTTGCAGCAGAAGGGGTCGAGCCCAGCCCGGTGAGCTGGCCGGGTCGCGGGGGAGCGGTCGGGGCGGGCGCAGCTGGGGGTCGGCGTGCGGTTGAGCGAAGGCGGCATTCAAAGGCCTCCTGGCTGTCAAAATACCTGTTAATGTGTTTTTTGTGAACAAAATACTCAATACAAGTTACACGGAGAAAGAAAACTCCTACAGGTACATAAAACTACATAAAATGCTTTTCCTTCTTATATAGAATCCCGTGTTTTTATGCTTCAGCACGTGACCTTGCATACATTTTATCGCTCTGTGGACTTCAGTTTTCTCGGTGTAATGTTAGGTGTTTGGACTGGATGACATCTAAGGTCTCCCAATAGTTATTAATTGGGGGATATTTAACTATTAAAGAAAGGTAAATATGGCAGCTTGACCACATCAATTTAATTTTACGCCATCCTTGAAACCTGCTAAAATGAATATAAATGAATTAAAAAGGCAGAAACCCATGAAGATAAGTGTGTGCATGTCAGACAACAATAGGCCAGTGATGTCAGTAAGAGTTTGGAAGCTGCAGAATAAGTAGATAAAAATGGGAATGCCGTGGGGCCCAGCATGAGCAGCGTCCTGAGCGTGCAGGATGGGAGAAGGCCCCCCCAAAACAGGCTCATTGGGGTGGGGAGACGCTGCAGGGGAGACAGCAGCTGCTGTCAAGGTGGACTCACGCGAGGGTGGCACTGAGAAGGGGAGGCTCCCTGGGAAGCTCGGAGGAGAAGTGATTTTTAAAAATCACTGCTGGCTAGACGGGTGATTTTTAAGAGGTGCGCCGCAGGGGCCACCCCGTGCGCCCCAAGAACGCCTATCACGTGCAGCGCCTGGCCTTCTCTCCCCTGGAGGGTCAAATACAAAAATGACAGCCGCCAATGCCACAATACCCCTGCGGCGTGAAGGCATCACAATTATCCCTATTGTTTTTCTTTTGCCAGGGTAACAAAAGATACCTTTTTGGGTGGGCCATGAGGTGGACAAGGTTGAAAATCGCCCAGCTAGGCTACCAGAGGCCCACCTGGCTGATAACCCGGGCATCTGCCCTTCTTGGCCCAGAAGCCGAGTAGAGCTTCCCGAAGAGGCCCGCCCAGACAGACACAACTGGGGCTCGAGCAAGACGCGGCGCTGGCCGTAGGGGAGCCTTCTCCCTTAGGAGTCGGTGCGTGCATCTGTGCCCGCTGCTGGGTCCCCGGTGTCCTGGCAGCCACTGGCACCTCCTCTTAGGAGACCGCGCATGCTGCCAGGTCTCCACCTGGCCCAGGAGGAAAGATGTGCTGATACCGATATTTGAGTAGGTTTTGATGAAAACTGGGGGCTGCCCCGTTGCAGCGAATGGTCAGATCTGATTGTCAGGTCCCATGTGTGAACTTTCCAGTTGGTGCTTTGGAGGCTCAGTCTTAGACTTTTAAGGACGCACAGCAGAGGGTTACCAATCTTCCGAGGGACCTCCTTGCCGTAGAGAGCGAGCGATTCAGAAGCATGGGCAGGTGAGGGCCACTGGCGTTAACACCCTCCTAAAGATGAAGACTTCATTGGCGCCCAGAAAAATTTTCAAAACGCCATAAAAAGAGCAAATATAAGAAAATACTGTTAGTAGTTAAGCATCTGATAGTGGAAATGAAAGACTTAAGAGATACAGCGGCTTAATTAAATCTCACAGTAACTACAGAGAAAAGATAAAGGGGAAAGAGAGGAAGAATAAGAAACGGAGGGATCTAGCTCAGGAGCTCCGATATCCAAATAATAGAAATCCTGAAAAGATAAAGCAGAGAAAATGGAGACCAAGGCCAAGGTCGGGGTGGGGGTGTCAAAACCCTGGTTTTTCCCTCCCTCGTAGTAGTGTCTGTTATTTTAAACTCTGTACCGCTTACGTATTTAAAAATAATTTACTTAAAATTTAAAATTAGAAATATTGCATGAGAAGGTTAAAAATAGATCTTGAGTCTTGTTAAAGACCAATAAAATTAAATGTAGACAAGGAAAAAATATTTGATAGTTTTAAAGTAGGTTATTTTGGGAAAGTTACTCCAATTATCACAGGCAAACTGAAGAGCATTTTCCTCCCCGGAGAACAGCGGCAGCGCGGCCGTGGCGTTGATCATGGACGGGAGCTGGAATCTGGCCTAAGGGCGCGGTGGCTCCCCGGCAGTAAACAAGGCTGCCTTTCTGTTGGGGTGCACCAAGTGGTCAAGGTCTACCTGAAGTAGAGTAAGGCTCTAAAAAATTGTGTGACATTCCTAATAATAGTTTGTTCAGGATGCATTTATTGTCCGTTTGTGCCACGCATTGTTCTGAATAGTCTGCTTGTTTGGACCCACTAAATCCTCAGAAGAGCCCCATGATGGCAGTCCCCATTTCCCAGGCGAGCAAGCCAAGGTACAGAGAGGGCAGGTGACATGCCCATCGGGGTTACTCAGCTGCTAAATGGAAACGCCTGGTTGGAAACCACGACGGCCCAGCCTCCGAGTTCATGCTCTTAGTTTACCCACGTCTGCCCTGCTTGTTGAATAAAGAGCCCTGAGCATCTCGCCTGAACAGGCTGTCCACACTCGGGGAGCTGGTTGCCTAGAAGAGGTGGTGGATCTTAGGGTAAAGCTTTTGTTTGCCCCTGGATGGAGAAGAGAGCCTAGACCAGTGCACCCACTGGGTGACGAACCAAGGCTGAGTGCTGACCGGGCAGGAGGACCCAGGGACTCCCTGTGACCAGCTGAGTGACGTTACACGGCACCTATCCCCGGTTTTCCTCCCTGGTTCTGATCCTGGCACTGTTCGCGGCAGACGTGGAACGTCTGTGGACATCGTCAAGGAAATTAACCGCGTTTACAGTTGGTGAACTGTAGCCACCGGGGAAGTGATTGGTGCAGAGAAATAGATCTCCTGTATTTTAATTTTACAACTTTAAGCCCAGTTACATGGGGTTTGTGGAAACAGTGTGGTTCATGGAGTGGGAACCGAACTATTTGTCATTAATCAATGATGTGTAGCATGCTCCGGTGTTTCCTAATATTCAAGAGTAAGAAATTAGTTTCCAATACAAATATTACAAATTTGGTTGGTTTGTTCTTCCTAGTTCAACTTCGTGGGGAAACTGCTGGGTCCACGTGGCAATTCTCTGAAGCGTCTACAAGAAGAAACCTTGACAAAAATGTCCATCCTTGGAAAAGGTTCCATGAGGGACAAGGCAAAGGTAATATTCATTAGAGACAGTGGCTACTTTCATAGCCGTTGCACAGTGTACTTTTAGGTCACCTTTTTTATTAATATGTACTATATAAAAGCTAACTAGCATCTCAAGTGAAGTTATAGGAGAATGTTACAGAAGGTGATGTACTCATTTATGATACTATATAGAAAGTTGAGTCACAGTGGCCAGTTCAGAATATGTAGTATCTTAAACTTGCATGTAAGTTTTATATTCATTTGTAAAATAATACTGTAGTACCTATGATTTTTGATTCTAGAAGTATTGTGTTACCTTGTAGAAAGTACAGTGGTACTGAAATTATCAGGAAGAGAATAGGAGTTATCTGTAGTCTGAGCATCCCTGTTTGCATTTTAGATTAGCTTCTTCAGGTCTTTTCTGTAACGTGTATACTTTTATTTGCTCTTTTCCCCGTTCATTTGATAGCCTGTGTATTTTATCAAGTTAAAATCGAATTGACTTTAAAAGTTTTAATAATTACTTACACGTAGTTATTCTACTTGGATGTATTCACATTAACTGCCTGGGTTTTTTTGAGAATTTCAAGATTTATTTTTTAATTGAATTTATTGGGGAGACATTGGTTAATATAATTATTTAGGTTTCTGGCGTACACTTCCGTAACACACCGTCACTGTGTATGTTGCATAGCGTGTTCATTTCCCCAAGTCACGTCTCCGTCCCTCACCGCCTATCGCCCCTGTACTCTCTCCTTCCTCCCCCGTCCCCTGCCCTCGGGCAACCACCACAGTGTCCTCCGTGTTCCTGAGTTTTTTGTTTGTTTGTTCGTTTTTCTTAATCCCTTCACCTTTTCCCCCAGCCTCCCAACCCCCGCCCCTGACAGCTCTCAGTCTGTTCTCTGTATCTGTGAGTCTGTTTCTATTTTGTTAGTTAGTTTACTCCCTTCATTAGAGTCCACATACAAGTGAAATCACATGGTACGTGTCTTTCTCCGACTGACTGACTTCACTTAGCGTAATACTCTCCAGGCCCATCCGTGCTGTTGCCAAAGGTAAGAGTTCCTTCCTCCTTATGGCTGAGTAGCGTTCCATTGCGTAAAGGCCCCACAGCTTTATCCACTCGTCTGCTGGCGGGCACTGGGCTGCTTCCAGATCTTGGCGTTCTAAGTAAGGCTGCAGTGAACATAGTGGTGCATGTACTCTTTCAAATCTGTGTTTCAGGTTAAATTCCCAGAAGTGGACTCTCTGGGTCAGGAGGCACTTCCCTTTTCAATTTTTTGAGGAAACGCCGCACCGTTTCCCACAGCAGCTGCCGCGGCCTGCATTCCCACCAGCCGTGGGCGCGGGCTCCGTTTTCTGAGCGTCCTTGCCGGCGCGTGTGTGTTGATTTATGGATGATAACCCTTCTGACAGGTGTGAGGTGATATCTCACTGTGGTATGCCTTTCTTTTAATAAGCTAAAATTACTGTTTATTAATCACTTTCTCAAATATTTCAATTCTGAGAGATTTTCACATTTCGTAATGTACTGTCACTTTGTTCTCTACTATCACTTTGTTGCTCTATCATCGTTTAAAAATTTTTATTGCTAAGAACCAAATTTATATTCAGTGATCACTTACGGTGAAATGCTGAAGAATGGTGTGCCAGACAAGAAAGTGACTTAAACAAAACTGCCTCCTCAGGAGAAAGTCCATCTAAATAACAGCTTTCATAGAAAAATAGCCACCATTAGTTTACTGAACAGCCACTGTGACTCAGATGCCATGGGACACTTCACATGTGTTGCTCCATGTTATCCCTGGAAAAATGGTGGGAGAGAAGCGTAATTTTGTTTTTAAATTTTACATGTACAAAAACTGAGATCCAGAGAATCTTGAGTGTATCATCTGGTTAACCAGGGAGGTTCTTCGTGTTAGTTGATTAAAACCTGGCTATGCATCCGACTCACATGGGATGCCATTTAAAAGTGCAGTCCCCAGGCCCCCAGCCCGTGGAGGGTGGAGCCCTAACATGAATTTTCAGTAGGTGTTTGAAATAATTCTCCTTCATGGCCAGGTCAGTTTAACCACTCACGAAACATTGCCGTCGTGAGTGATGTGACTTTGGTTCCCTGAGTCATCTGTTCTGGTAGGAGGAGAAAATGAACCTTCTGTCGATCAGGTGGTCAGAGATTGCCTGTATCTTGGAGGAAAACATCCCACCTTAGCTGATAAGTTAATTAAGTCTTTAATAAGTCCATCGGGTAATGAGGTACCTGGTAAGGCCAGCAAAGCCCATTGACTTTGTGCTGCTTAGTTTGCCGCAGGCAGAGTTTCTTGGGTAGAAGCGACGTTCGGTGGCCTTCCATGGAGCGGTCAGGGCACAGGGCGCGCGTTCCCAGAGGGCGTTCCAGCTAGAAGGGGCCAGGGGAGGCACGCCTCTACCTGGCTGGTATGTCCACGTCATAGCAGGTGCCTGGCCATCTGTGTAATGAATGGGAGCGTGAATGGCCTGCTCTCGGACTTCGGTGGTCCTTCCAGAGCGTGTTGTCATTTTGCGGGCTGCTGGCAGTCCACTGCTGTCGGCGTCTTGGGCGCTCGGCAGCGATAGCAGCCAGCCCTCCTTTGGAGTGTAGTTTTTTTGTGTGTTAATGTGTGACCTCTCCCTGTCCCCATGAGCACTTCGTTGAGGAGGCCCTTGAGTAGCACAGAGGTGGCCAGGGAAGCAGGTGCCATGGTGTCTGCCACACCACGGCCTCCTGGTCACTGACTGCCAGCTTTGTGTTGCGTGGGGCACCCTGTCTCCCACACTTGGGCCTCTTTCCCAGACCTCTTACCTCCCACTCATTAATGCTTCCATTTCTGTGTCCGTGGCCGCATCACTCAGCGAGTCAGGGTGGAGCTTCTGCAAGAGGCTGAGCATTTACATGCCGTCCAGACCACCGGACACTGGGGACGTAGCACGCGTTGCAGGCTGACAGTCCGCTGCCCCCACAAGCCCCGCTCTGGGTGGGGGCCGTCGGCGGGTACTGGCGGCACACTGTCCACGATGCACACTGTGAGCAGGAGGCCCGTCGCCTGAGCCTGGAATAGGGATTTCACGCGATCCTCTTCACTAGTTTAATTTTAATCGACAGAAGGTCTCAGTTAACAGTATGTTTATTTCAAGCGATCCCATTACTTCCTGTTAAAATCTTATACTCTTTTAGATTTTCAGTGTCTTGACTATTTAAATTCTCATGTGAACCTACTTCATTTTCTTGTATTTGCTACATTGATGAAATTGTAGGAGTCATTACTGACATGTACGAGCTGGTTATGAGTATAATAATCACAGTGCCGTGGACCCCTCCACTTGCGCCAACATCACATTCAATGTTTTGCCCGCATCATCCATGTTATAGAATAATAGAATACTTAATACTATAGTTGTGTAATAATAATTATCACTCTAATAATTATTATTATTACTGGATCTATTATTTATTATATGTTAGACATAAATCTGAAGACTCTGTTTTGAGACACAAAACTCCTTTATTACTACCATTCCTACATTACTACTCACTCCTAATTACTGACATAGAAACTCTTTTATTCCTAAAGCAGCTCTGTGAGCAGTAGGTTCTAAGTGTCGCCGCCATGTAAAGCCACCCTCTGAAGGGGGAGATGAAGTAGCCCACCTGCCCAAAGGCAAGCGGCGTGTGTTGGATTTGAATGCAGACCCTCAGAGTCTGTGCTCATCCCCAAACGCCGCACCGCCGGACCTAGGTAGCCTGGGAATACCTGCTTGCTCTGTGGGACAGGGTGGCGCCTGGGGAGAGGGCAAGAAAGCCCCGCCTCCGATTCCGGTTTGTTATGGAAATGAAAGTGCTTGACTCCAAATCAACGGTCATCTCTCTGGGATGATGATCTTGGTGCATATTAGAAAAAGATCAGAAGTGTTTATTTCAGTAGTTCCTGCTTTCTAAGATGATGCCATGTGCATAGTCTTCAGCTGGAAAAGGCAGAGTACCAGACCAAATGATTAAAAATGTTCCAATGAAAACAGTGAACAGCCTCTGGTTGGCGTAAAAGAGCGGTGCTTTTTATACTCAAGGCAAATTGCAAAGAAACTGCATAGGACGTGCATGGTAGCTTGTATTTGCTCCTTCTCACTGCAGATGTGTTTCTTGTTTTCTTTCAGTTTCTGACCCGCTTCCCCTAACTGTGACGGCAGCTAGCGCCTGCTGGGTGCCTGCCACGTGTAAGGCGCGGCACCGGGCAGCACAGGCACCGTCTCCTCGGCGGGGCGGCCACATAAAGCCGACCCTTTAGCCTTCCCAGTGGCCCTACAGAAATATACATTTGTTAACACCAAACTGACCTTGTAAACTAAGCGCTGGATTACCTTTCAACTGCCCACCTCACACACCTAGTGACCAGCGTAGCTGCGATTCAGCTGTGTCTGTCTCCAAGTCCCAGGCCCTATTCCTGTTCTTTTCTTTTTAAGGAGTCACACTGTCTTTTTTCTTTGAAGTAATGGAAGGGGGCGAAACCTGGCAGGTGAGGTTCAGTGTGTGCGTGCTGGCGAGGCCTCCTGGCTGGTGGCGGGGTTACAGGGCGCTGTCGTCAGGAGTTTGTGGGGTTCTCTCTCAGCCGGCGTAGGTTTTTTGAAGAGGTTGGGGAGGTTGCCTCCTCTCGGACATCCCTTTAGATGTAGGTTTCTAGCAATTTTTGTCTGTCTGATTTTTACGTTGGAAGCAGGCTGTTGAAAAACTGAGATTCTGTAATTGCCACTCTAATGAAGGCTAGTTAGAAGAAGATAATAGAGTGGAATTACTAGTCCCTTAATTATCTGTGGTTTTTTTTCCTCCTAATTTCCTCCTGAATTTCACTGTGAACAACAAAAAAAATTAGAAAATGTTTGTCATAATTATGTAAAATCATGTAATAAAGTCTGTCATTTATCTTATTCTCTGTTCTACCCCCAGACAGAGTGTGGTGCCTGGCATGTAGAAGTGCTTTTTGAACAATATACACATGAGCCAGTGGACGTAGATATGAATAAATAATTGGCCGTTCATTGAGTAAATATTTGTTGAGCATCTGCTTTATGCCAAGCGCTTTCCTAGGCAAGGGAAGTGAGACAGTCCTAACCCTAACCCCACCCCCCACCCCCTAACCCTTCAGTGAGAGAAATTAGAAAATGGGCAAGTAACAAGGCTCCTGAGATTCCAGATACCAGTACACACTTTATAGCAGCACCACAGGCACGCAGGGTAACCATGGAGAAGTGAGCTGCGCTGTTTTGACATTCGAGAGCTGCAATGTGAGTCCGTGCGGCACCTGGACAGGGACTCGGACGCTCGAGGGAGCTGAGCCTGGGGCCGAGGGCAGGCGGCGGGACCCCCAGGCCGGAGACAGCCTTTGAGACCACAGCAGCAGGCGGCCTTCTAGTTTTCAGAAAAGCCTGGGAAGGGCATGCTCAGATTCGTGTTCTCAATTTCCTTCCTCAGAGGGTGTTCGCTGTTGAGTGACTCTTGGGACAACCCCACACCACGTAAGCTCTGGGTCGTTTTTATTACGTTTCTCTTTCCTAACGACCCAGTCTTCAGCATGACTTGTCTTTCCTCAGGAGGAAGAGTTGAGGAAGAGTGGGGAAGCGAAGTACTTCCACCTCCACGACGACCTGCACGTGCTCATCGAGGTCTTCGCCCCGCCCGCGGAAGCCTACGCCCGCATGGGGCGCGCCCTGGAAGAGATCAAGAAGTTCCTCATTCCCGTGAGTGCCGCGTGACGCTCCTCCTGTATTTTAACCCCTGGCAACGCTAGGTGTTTTGCAAGGCGCTTTACCTGCTGAAGAACTTCACACTTGTCGCGGCAAGGAGACTTCACGCTGTCCCTGGGAATGACTTGGCCTGACTCCTCCTTAATAGATGAGACCTCAGACTTCTGAGCATAAATAATACTGCTAAGGTCACATGACCGAGAAGGTGGAAGAACACAGTCACTTGTCCCCGTGGTGGGACTCCTAAACCTTTTTGGGGCATAAAAGCACCTCACTAACGTGTTGTGCGGCGGCATGACTCGCAGTGCCCTCCGGGCCTGTTTGACTGGGGCCTCGGTGAACTTCTCTTCCCCAGAATCTGTTTTCAACCCCATGCAACTGGGCGTCCTCACATGTGCAGCCGGGCAGAGCGCTGGCCTTTGCGTAGCGTAGTTTATTTGGAATGTGCTTCAGAAACAATTTATTAACCTTCACACATTACTAGTAAAATGGTAGGAAACATTTACAGGGTTATTGTTAGAGAGGTGGAAATGCCGATTGATTCCAGTGACGCTTCTGAAGCCACAGACTGCCAATAAGTTAGAGAAAGAGTTTACATTTACGTAAAACCGAGACCCCTAATCCCAGCACTTTCCGCTGATCGCAGCCCTGGGCCCCCTGCTCCGGGGTCTCCCGCCCACCTGCCCTGCGGTGTCACCTGCCTGTGGTCTCCGCTGCCTGTTTGATCCAGGTTCATGCTATTTCGCGCTCCACAACGTCTTCCTATCACAAGTTTCGTCAGTGTTGCATTCTGCTCTTGAAAAGCACGGAAGAGGCAGTATATTTTTTAAATAAATTTACAAACATAGTCCATGTTTTTAATTCTAAGTAATCCAGGAAACCTCTTCTGAATCTTTTATTTAAACTCAGATGTGCTTATACTTCTTCTGTCACAAAATCATCCCTTTCTCCCTCAAACTGCATCCACAGAAGAGCACGCTTTCAGGTATAAGAAGATGTGTTCAGTTTTGGAAGTGCTGAATTTTGCTGGTTGTGCAGTATCCAAAGGGAAATGTACAGAAAGAATGGGCAGGGACGTGGCTCACTGCTCTCTGTTTTCTGTTTCTTGGAGCATCACAGACACTCAATAAGGACTAGCTGAATTGAGTTGTAAATAACAATGCCAATATTATCTGTTACATGGCATTTTAATTTTATTATAAATGTTTCACTTGGAAATCGTGCGTGGGGGAAAGAGTTATGGCTCGTTATAGAAAATTTTAGTTTTGGGGAAAATACTGTGTTTTTCATGTTTTCCTTTTTACAATTTATTGATATGTTTTTGTTTTAACAAAATCAAATCTTGTTTTATGAATTCAACTATTTTCCTATCCCCTTTTTTTCTATTAAAAAAACTGCTTGCTTTTTGTTCTAAACACTGTTGTCTTTTCCTGAGGTGAACTTGCTATCTTCCGTCTCCCGTGTAGGATTATAATGATGAAATCAGGCAAGCACAGCTCCAGGAATTAACATATTTGAATGGCGGCTCAGAAAATGCCGACGTCCCGGTTGTCCGAGGGAAATCTGCCTTGCGTACAAGAGGTGTGCCAACGCCAACGATAACCAGGTAGGCAAAACGAGTTGACTGACTTCTCCTGTCGTTAGGACATGGTAGCACGACAAGAGTTTGAATGTTCCCTTTACTAAGAGATAGCTCTATCAGGGTGTCAGTTTTCTTTCCTCATGGCTTCCATCTTCCTGACCTAATCCCCACCTCTCTTCCAGGTCATATTCCGTCTGAAAGATCTTTTAAGTTAAATTAGATTTATTTTCTCCTTGCCTAACACCTTTGAGCTGCTTCCCTTGCAGCGAGAAGAAAGCCCACACTTCCTGATGCGCCCTCTGGTCACCTGGCACCGTCCACCCGGCTCTGTCTTTCCACCTCACCGCTTCTGCCCTCCTGGCACCCTGGGCCGGAGCCTTTCTCTTCCGTCAGTGAGCCACGCTTGTCTCCTTCTGAACCCTCTGCAGTCACTCCTCCTCTTGGCACGCCCTCCCTCCGGGCACCGGGCTGCTCCCCTTGGCCTTGCGTTCCCCGCACACAGGCACCTCCGCCGACGGCCGTCAGCTGGTCCAGCACCGGTCACGGCACCTGCCTCAGCTACTCAGCATTTATCAAGAGGAATTTACTTTTCTTCCTTGTTCACTTTTTATTGGTACTCACTCATCAAAACACTGTGGAGTGAATATAGTACAGTAGCAAATCTTGAGGCTCTTTCTGATCCAGTGTTGGCCATTTACAGTATTGTTTGTTAATATAGTTCTTGTCTGTCCCATGGCTGAGTTAGCTTTGTGGGAATGGTCACCTTGTTTGCCAGGATGTCCCGCTTCGGGATTTCACCGTGGGACAGATTATTCCTGGGTCATCAGGAGTGCCCACCATGTTACTACTCCAGGATACCTTTGTGACAAAAGGTGTAAATGGTCCAAAAGTAAGTCCTGTAGTGGGAAGTAGTAAGTGTTTCAATGAGAACCTTTTATTTCGGTTTGTGGTCCTCCCTCCCAAGTAACGGGCAGTCTTATCCCATGACTTTGATACCAGAAACCATAGGAAGAGAAAGTGAACACAGCCAATGAGGTCTGCCTCTGAGTAGCAGATGCCCGTTTGCCGGGGTTGGGCGCTGTTTGCGGGGGTTTCGTTTTGACTTAGGCCATAAGGCTGAGTGGCCAGTCACTCAAGCCCTTTTATCAGCTCTCATAAATTGTGGACATTTTCAGCTCCTGGTTTTAAAGATATTTTTCCTGCCCCTTTCCCTCTTCTCTTTCTTGGTCCTCAGTCCCACACATTAGGTGTCACTGTACTTCCTGAACTGTGTGCCAGGGTGCAGGGGTGCACACTCACAGGGTGGCCAGGGGACAGTGTATAATTTCATGGCACCTTAATGAGAGCCAGTGTCTCTGAGACACTGCGTGGACTGTCAGCGTGAGGTCATCGTTTATGGTTTCAGCGTGAGGTCATTCCCCCCTGACGTTAATGACGTCTCATCTTTGCGAACTGGCATGTCAGAGTTGGCTGTGGTGAACAATAAGCAGCCACAGTTACTTAGCCTGTTGGTCATGTCTCCCACCGTGGGGTCACGTGAGAGACTGTCGCTCTCACTGCCTCATCCGCGTTGATTTTCACGCGGTCCTGCTTTGCTTAAAAGCGGACTAGGGATGGTGGCGTAAATGCAGAGATTGCTCGAGGGACTGAAAGCGTTGGGTTTTCCCTCACAGTCTATGAAGTATGAGAGATGGTATGATAAATATTTCACACCGCTGTATTTAAAGGTCCTTGTTTTGTTAAGGAAAGGGTGAGTATAGGAAAAGCTAATACCTTTCTTTTACTAGACAAAATGTCACTTAAACACATGGCCGGGGTATTATTTCAGTTGTTTGGCTCGCGGCTGGACTGACTTCTCAGGACCACCCATCACCTGGCCTGTTGGAAGAGCCTCCTTCTCCCCTTCCTGCCAATTCTGTGTCGACGACATGTGCCTGTTACCACCCCGGCTGTGGACCTATGGCACGTGTGCCCCACGTCCCAGCCCGAGTCCCAGAAGGCTTTCCTGCAAACGCATTTCCCTGCTTTTGTTGCCAGCAGGTGCCCTGAATTGCTCCCGCTGCGCTCCCTGCTCCGTCCTGAGAGCCGTTACTCTGCATCCAGGGGCTCAGCTGGGTATTAGTGAGCGGTCACATGGGTGTTGAGGAAGGGGAGACAAAGGAGAAAAACAGGTGGTTTCTTTGAAAATTACCTTAATAGGCTCTAGGAAGACAGTAACTGAGGCAAATAATGTCACAGGTGGTGGAAGGGCTGGCAAGAACTTGGCCACTTAAATGCCGGCCAGGCCGGACTAATGGGAGAAGCAGCTGGACGAGGTTCCCAGGACTCAGCTCGGCCAGGGCAGCAGGAAGCCGGACGGGCGCCACGGCCCCCTACAGGCCCTCCTGCCGAGCGCGCGTGCCCGCTGATTCTTCCCTAGGCTGTGTCCAAGGAGCTCCGCTGGAGCTCCGGGTGGAGGGAGGCCGTGCGCCAGCTCCCGCACTGCGGGACTCTCCCCCACGGCCGGCTGCTCAGGAACTTCAGTAGTTCCTTTCTCCTCTTTGGAAACCATCAGTCTTATTTTTCTTGAGCTCTTTCTGTAATAGGAATGGACTTTGTAGAGATATTAAAAGTCCTTGTCCTGATGTCAGAGAGTCTTAATGAGAAAGTCAGAGAAACAAGTACTTATGAGCAAATGGTACCAATAGGGAATGAGGGATATGAAAACCAGTGAAGTGGCCACAGGAACGAGGGTGCCGATAACTCAGAGTGAGGAGTGGGGGTGTGAACGGACTCAGGCCGAAGGTGGAGAAATGAGCCGGGTTGTGCCCGAGGGAAGTCATCCCGGGCCGAGGTGGTGCATTCAGTTACTTTTTATTTTAGCCATTCTAACAGGTATGTTTTAATTTGCAATTCCCCAGTCACAAATGATGTTGAGCATCTTTTCATTTGGTTATTTGCTACCTGTATGTCGTCTTCAGTGAGCTGTATGTTGAATTAGGTTGTTTGTTTTCTTATTGTTGAGTTTTAAAAGCCCCTTGTATATTTTGGATACACATCCTTTATCAGATACGTGTTTTGCAAATATTTTCTCCCTTCCTGTGGTGTCTCTTCATCTCTAACAGTGTCCGTCTCTGGCTAGCAGTATTCCGTTTTAATAAGGTCCAACTTACCAGTTTTTGTTTCATGGATTATGCTTTTCTAATTATATCTAAAACTCATCATCCAATCAAGGTCATGCTGATATCTTTTATGTTTTCCCTACAAGTTTGATCTTTTACATGTAGATCTAAAACCATTTCGAGTTACTTTTTGTCAAAGAAATCATGTTTGTCCACGTTCATTCTTCCCCCCGCCCCCGGCCCCCTTGCATATGACTAGCCACTCATTCCAGCTTCTCTTCTTGAAAAGACTGTCATTTCTCTATCGAACGGTCTTTGCTCTTCTGTCAGTGATGTCCTAACTATTTCTGTGGGTCGGTTTCTGGGCTCCCCCTTTCCTTCCGTGGACCTGTGTGTCTAATCTCTTTTGCCGGTCCTCACTGTCTGGATCACTGTAGCTGTGAAGTGAGTCTTGCAGTCCGGTGTTAGGAGTCCTCCCAACATTTTTCTCCTTCAGTATTGTATTGTCTCCTGTATGTTTGTTTAATCTTTCCATGTGTACTTTAGAATATGTTTGTCCAACTACGAAATAGCTTGCTGGGATTTTGATTGGGATTGCATTGAGTCTATACATCAAACTGGGAAGAATTGGCAGCTTAACAATATTAACTGTTAGAACCACAAGCTTGTAATATTTGTCCTTTAATTTCTTTCATCAGAGTTCTGTACTTTTCTACATAGCCCCTGTGCATATTTTCTTAGATTTGTGCCAGAACACTTCATTTCTTGTGCTTTATCAATAAATGCTATTCTGTGTGTTGTTAAAAAAAGACTTTATTTATTTATTAGGGCGATTTTAGGTTCCCAGCAAAATTGAGAGCTTCTTTGATGCCACCTTGTTTACTGTTGCTGGATGCGCTGCCTATGTGACTTGGCGTCTTTTTGGTGGATGCCTGCTTCATCTTGCGCATCAGTTTACTCTCTTTACAGAAATGTGGACCATTGATTTGTCTGAGTTATCAATGCATGTGAACAATGGAATATTAGAGAAGATGACAAAACAGTGCTCACGTGGCCCTCTTGCTTGCAGGGGAAGGGGAGGAGTCACAGCCCGGCCGGTTGGAGCAGGTGGACCACGGGGGACGCCAGCCTCCAGGGGAGTCCTGGCCGCCCGGGGGCCAGTGAGCCGGGGAAGAGGACTCCTCACTCCCAGGGCAAGAGGTGTCCCCCCAACTGGGTACCGACCTCCGCCGCCACCCCCAACGCAGGAGACCTACGGAGATTATGTAAGTGGCGGTATCAGGCATCAGCTTTGATGATCTGATGGACCCAATCCACGTATATCAGTGATGTTGTAACCACGTATCCTCTCTCACTTGCTTTCATTCTTATCTATTATTCCACCTTAGTTTATTTAGCAATATTTATGGAGTGCTGAATAAGGACTGGGTACTAGAGGTACAACGCCTCAAAAATAACCAACCTTTTTCATCCAATAGCTGAATTTGGGTGGTGGGTTCGGGGTTCAAGACTAGGATCAAGGAGACATGTCACCAAGCTCTTACAGGATTTTAGTGTAATCTTCCTTCCTGTTCCACTCCAGGTTGCCTTCAGGTATTCAGTCATTTAAAAAATAATTGCCTCCATGTACCAAGCTGTTTCTACCCTGAAGTGTTCCTTCTTAAGCTCTTCTGCTGAATATGGATTCTTAGTGGAAAATATTCTCAGTGAAGAAAACAAAAGTTCACAGTTTCTTAAATTAATGCAAATCAGTTTTTCATTTACCATTCAATAATTCTTTGATATGGTTCATAGACTTTCTTAACAGGAGAGGAAGAAAATATAGCCCTAAAAATTGGGTGGAGGGAGGGGGAGAGGAAATCATTTACAAGATCACAAACCCCCTCGGATTCTTGCTGGTTTACCATACAGGAAGAACAGAAGTGATGGGTAGGTGTTTATATCAGTAAACAGTATTAAAGAGTGTGTGAGTGTCGTCAAAAATGGGAAGCCGTAACAGGGATGAGATGCAGGATCCAATACATTTTCATGTTGTGCTTTTTATTTTTTTTTCATTGCATTTATTTGGGTGACATTGGTTAATAAAATTATGTAGGTTCCAGGCATGCATTTCTATGATATGTCCTCTGTATATTGGATTGTGCTCACCCCAAGCCAGGCCTTCCGTCGCCGTTTATCCCCCTTCACCCTCTCCTACCTCCCTCCACCCCCCTTTCCCTCTGGTGATCACCATGCTGTTGTCTGTGCCTACAGGTTTTTTTCTTAATCCCTTCACCTTTTTCACCCAGCCCACCACCCCCTCCCCTCTGGCAGCTGTCAGTCTGTTCTTTATCTATGAGTTTGTTTCTCTTTTGTTTGTTAGTTTATTGTGTTTATTAGATTCAACGAAGGCATGAAATCATACGGTACTTGTCTTTCTTTAACTGGCTTATTTCACTTGGCATAATATTTTCTAGGCCCATCCGGGCTGTCACACAGGGTAAGAGTTCCTTCTTTTTTTACAGCTGAGTAGTAGTCTGTTGGATAAATGTTTCATAGTTGTTTTATCCACTCTTCTATTGATGGGCACTTGGGCTGCTTCCAGATCTTGGCTATTGGAAATAATGCTGCAATGAACATAGGACATAAAGGGAGAGGTTGACAGGAATATAGTCATAGTAGGGGATTTTAACCGCCCATTGACATCAGTGGATAGACCTTCCAGACAGAAAATCAACAAGGAAATGGTGGCCTTAAATAACATACCAGATCAGATAGATTTAATTCATATCCTCAGAGCATTTCACCCCAGAGCCGCAGAATATACATTCTTTTCAAGTGCACATGGAATATTTCTAGAATAGATGACATGTTAGGAAACAAAACAATTCTCAATAAATTTAAGATTGAAATCACGTCAAGCATCTTTTCCGACCATAATGCTGTGAAAGTAGGAATCAGTCACAAGGAAAACAACTGAAAAACCACAAAGACAGGGAGGTTAACTAGCGTGTTCCTAAATGACGGATGGGTCAACACTGAGGCCAAGGAAGAAATCAGAGACCTGGGACCAAATAAAAAAGAGAGGACAACAGCCCAGAACCCCTGGGGCACAGCAAGAGCGGTCCTGAGAGGACAATTCATGGCATTATAGGCCTCTCTCAAGAAACAAGAAAAATCTCAAATAAACAATCTAACTTTACACTTGAAGGAACTTGAAAAAGAACAAAGCCCAAAGTCAGTAGAAGGAAGGAAATAATAAAGGTCAGAGCAGAAATGAAGGAAGTAGAATCTAAAAAAAAACCAACAGAGATCAATGAACAAAGAGCTGTTTCTTTGAAAAGATAAACAAGATAACTAACCTTTAACTAGACTCATCAAGAAAAAAAGAGAGGACCCAAATAAATAAAATAAAAAATGAAAGAGGAGAAGAACAGCTGACCAAAGAAACACAAAGGGTTGTAAGAAAATACTGTGAACAACTATATGCCAACACACTGGACAACCTGGACGAAGTGGATGAATTCCCAGAAACAGGCAATTTTCCAAAACCAAGTCAAGAAGAACCAGAGAATCTGAATAGACAAATTACATACAACTAGTGAAACTGAAGCAGCCATCAAAATATTCCCGGCAAGCAGAAGTCCTGGACCCGATGGCTTCACAGGTGAATTTTTATCAAACATTCAAAGAAGAACTAACACCGCTGTTTCCCAAACTACAGTCCTACCTCAGTACTCGTCGGCTTCAGAACTCATCAAATCCTGCACTTGTTGCATTTTGACGAGAAAAATAACGTTTCAGCCCTCAGGGCTTGCTCAGGACTTGTTGAACGTGCTAGAACTTGTATGAGTCACAGTGCCAACCCTCAAGAGAAAATGCCTCATTGTTTGGTACTTATTTCTGGCACTTGTCACGAGGTCTGGAATGAATTACCGGCAAGTACCAAGGTACCACTGTATTCCAAATGCTTTTTGCTTTAATGGAGGTCTCTCACTAGGTACTTTGTACCTCTTTGCACAGAAATCCCCCGGGCCACGGACAGCCTCTTCTGCTTCGTCGGCAGCCACTGGGGAGACCAGAGTCTTTGTCCTGGACACACTGAACTGTTTGCAATTCCCCGAGTGTGCGAGTTTTCTCAGGTGTCCAGACCTTTATTCACGCTGCTTTCCCTGCGTCTGCCTGTCTCCTGCATGTCCGCCTAGACTTCGGTTACCTCTTCTGGGGACGTTCAGAGGAGCTGAGCTATTGAGCGTTGCTGCGGTCATGACGTGTCTCTCTCCTCCCTGGTACCTAGACTGTGAGCTCTGGAAGGACAAGGGTGGATAGCTTTTCTTTTTGTTGTTGTTTTTTGTTTTTTTGTTTTTTGGAGGGGACATCCTGGTGGATGGATGGATAGCTTTTACCTCTTTATACTCAGCAGAGAGTGTGTACGGGGAGCTCAGTGAATTATTTTTAACAAATAAACCTCACAATACACAGCCTCACCATTTGCTATGCAGCTGGGGATGGATGTGGTGTCGGTATCGTCCCTTGTATTCCTTACAGTGGGACTTGTTCCTGTTTACTGCCGAACTCACAGTAGCAACTGTGCCTTGAGTTCTGCCACGAATGCTGAGTGGCTTCAAAATGGCAGGATTGGAAAGAAAAGGAGGTGTTGTTGAATCCTTTCTTGGTGGGCTGGTGTCTCTTTTCCCGGGGTCTTCCTTCGGGTTCTCTCAGGTTTGGGTTAACAGCGATGTGTCTGGATGAGGTTGTGGTAACTCTCAGACGGGGCACCACGGTACCGTAACGACGGTGTGTGTCAGGCAAGTGGTTAGCTCTTTCGGCTTCACAGTCAATGTGTTTCAGAAAGAGCTAGTTACTGACTTGTTTTCATGCATTAGTTCATCTTTTCACCCCACAGAATTCCTGCCCTGTGAACGGGACACACGTGTTCTCTGTCTCAATATGTGAGTCTGGCCAGCAGTTCGATGAATACAAATAAAAATTTCTTGGAAAGTCAAAGTCCAGGGGGGTAAAAGGAAATACAGGGCCCCTTGGTTTTTCCATTTGTAGCTCTAATTTTTATTGATAAGGGACGGGCAAGGCATTATTAAAACAGTTGATTCAAAGGTACTGTGCTGAGTTCATATACTCGCCTTTCCATCCACTCCAATGGGTGATGGTCTAGTGGCCGCATTGGAGAATACAGTGCCGTCTCCGGTTAGAAAGCTCTGCGTAGTCTGCCCCCCCGCCCCGGCACTGCTTGTCACTGTGGCTGCCGTTCCAGCACAGGCCAGCTGTCTTCCTGCCACATTCAGAGCATGGCGGCCCCGTGTGCCGTCGTGGGCAGCACGACCGCGAGCACATCCCTCCCCGGAGAGGAACAGCTGTCATGAAGAGTTTAGACTTGTAAGCGCTACAGCTTTCCCTCTTCATTTTGCACACGTTCTTTCTGGGAATGTTTACTGAAGTTAATAGTCAGGAACAGGATTTCCCCACTTAGCCTAGCATTCTGTCCCCCTGCACCAGTGACAGTGAGAGCGTCAGGGGCTGACACCGTGCCCAGCAGATGTGGCTGGTCGCTGGTCTGAGGAGGAGACAGCCCCTCCCGCCACTCAGCCGCTGGCTTCGGAAGCTCTGCCTGTGGGTAGGCACTTGTGACGTTGGCTTCCCCCCCGGGACCCACCTCTGACCGGCCTCGTCTTCCTGCCCCTCCACGACAGCTCTGCGGTCTGGCCGGTCCCCAGTCACTGACTGTTGGTCTTCACTGTTTGAGAGCCTGAAGATGGCTCATACAACTTGCTTAGCTTGGGCGGGGGAAAAACACACACTTTAATAGTTTGTTTGCCAGTTTCTTGGATTTTAGGTGGAGTGGACACATGGCAAGATCCAACCCAGAAAGCCTAGGATCCTACACTCCAGAACTTGTGTTCATTCATGCGGCAGATCGGAATGTTGAAGTTGGTCTTTGTAGAATATACTAAAATAATTATTGCAGTGAACTGAAATATCCATAAATTAGATTGTGAGCTTCATGAGAGTAGCCCCCTGCCCCCCAATTCACCTTTATAGTCTCAGAATCTAGTACACTTTCTGGCGTATAAGAGATCTTTAATAAATGTTTACTGGGTGAGTGAATGAATGAATACAAGCGGGCACCCAGAAAAAACGGAACTATCTTCTAGAGGGCAGGCCCCTTGCAGTACAGGCTTCCCCACCCCCCACCCCACACCCCCCGTGAGTGTTCTACTAACCCATCTGGATCAGTGTACCAGCTGGCGTTGTTGAGAGAGGCTGCGTT